CCTTCCAAAAAGGTGTTTCTTTTCAACATAGGCATTATTACCAGACGGAATTGTTTTCACAGCCATTCACTGTTTTCTTTGATTTCGGGAACACATGTCGAGAAAATTGTTCCTTTTTGAAGCATGAGATATGTTTGTGAAAGTGTTCCGTTGTTTTGATCATGTACACCTTTGTTAATTAACCTCTGTATCATCATCTACTATGGTTTTCGTAGATAATACATGTTGTTCCATTACTTTTTTTTATTCCCATTTCACTGTATTTCTGATTCTGCATGTTGAAAAATTAGCCAAATTTACACTGAATATACTGAAGCACCTCATCAAATAGTCACTTTTGTAATTTGGTACAACTTTGTACAGCTTTATAAACAAGCTTTTCTCAGTCTTCTTTGATTTCAAGGATCACACTTACGTAACTAGATTAAAGAGAGTCTGTCATCATCTGAAAAGACATAGAACCATCTCTGTTTTTGCTCCGMATTTTGAGGYTTTTTAGAATCTTCAGTCACTTTTCMARWATCMRAGACATTCGKCTCCAGATAGCCATAAAAGAGCCGTGCCTATTCCGGTATCGGTGAAGGCCTGCCGCCACTATTGCTCTTACAAGATGTTGGCTTCTCAAATTTCGGGTCGTATATTCCGTAAACAGTGCCCAGAGCATATAGTTCTTGGCTTTTGTAAAGGAATTCTACAAATGAATCTTGATCCACTGAAGTATTTCGACTGTTCCAAACACATCCACTTTCAACAACAGGCGCAGGGATAGCTCTTTTGGTTATTAAACAAGTACATGCGAGTTTATAACTRACCAACTGAAGCTCGCTGACTTTGTCCCTGATTTTAGCAGCCAGGAGAGCRGCAATGGCSCCKGATTCCTTCGCGTTGTAGCTTTTTGTCGCAAGTGCATTTTCGAATATRTCATGTATGATTTTCTTGATCTTTCCTTGGTTTGCAAGCATAGGTTTGAGTACGAATTTGTCAGGATCCGTTGGGTCAGATTGTGTTCGTTCCCTCTTTGGAAAGTCAGCATGCGATAGCACGAAAACACCACGATCTGTTTCTGTAAGCTTCGGTCTTTCAGCCTCAAACAGCGATCTGCTCCGTTGACGAGTTTTTGGTGGGTTCTTAATCTCGATATCCTTTTCTCTTTGCTTGCAAATTACGTTCTGTGCGGATTCCATCGTGTAATTGAGCAGCAAAGCCGTTTAATCTTGACCCAAAGATGTTGTTYTGGATTATTTTCTCGGCTAATCTTTCAATGAGTTGGTGCAGACCTCGTTCTAGTTGTTGTTTTTGCTCCGTTGTTCCCCTGAACAAGTCTCGTAGTCTTGTAAAACTATACTGGCGTCTTTCAAAACAAGTTACTACGCAGTAATCGGCGATGTTGCTTCTCTAAACTGTCACGTAAGACGTCAAAGATGTGTAAACATCATCGCAGGAGACAAATGATTTTGAATTCCATTTCAGGGTGATGTCGGAGGAGGGTTAGAGGTGGGTTAGAGGTGTGTACGCATGTCAAAGAAKAACAAACAACAACAGCWACAACAACAAMAGAGAAWATAGTTTTCATGTAKWTATATTTACTTTTCGTATYAAAACCAAAAAATTGATTCAAGCCAAAACGAAAATTAATTTTTGCATTATATGGGGGAGGGGTGGGTGGAAATCGACGGTAGTGAATTCGACCAGTCATTCAGGGAGGTGTCAGAAACATTTTCATTGTATGTTTTTTAGGAAGGTATTTATATATATTTAATATATGCAAATCCTGAGACCTATCTGACAAATATAGATAATATCAGGTCCCTAATAGAAAACTGTTTTGAAAAAAAATTCGACGAGTCCAGACGAAATAGATGGGGGTATTACTTTCTATTGACCTCTCTATTTTTGACTTATGCTGGATTTATTCCAACTAGCTATAGCGTTTAAATAGCAATCTCGCGCTTCTTAGCTTTGACATTAAGGGGATAACAATGAAAGAATCTGAAAGAAGAAGGAATTTATCCTTTTGATTACTATGACAACTTTTTTAGTCTTTTTTCTGATTTTTTCAGAATGACGAAGGAAATTCCTTCCCAGATTACAACCGTACAACCGTGTCAATATAGTTTATTTAAAACAAATAGTGAATACACCTATAATTGAAGAAACTTTGTCGGGCCCAAAAAAGTCAAATCATAGAAGCTAAGACCGAAAGGGTACTTGGGAAGACAAACAATTTGGCTAATTTCATACAAACAGCTCTCCATCATAAAAGACAATCATGCTGTTAATCTTACTAGCTCTACCTGCTTTACGGTACACCGTATGTACAAATGTAATCCCAATTTAGTGGTACTCAAAATCCCTTTCGGTCTTAGCTTCTATGATGTGACCTTTTTCGAACACGACTACGTTTTTTCAATTAGGTGTATATGAAAATGCAAGGTGTTATCTATAGTGCGAAACTGGAAAACCAATAACCGTTGGGAAGAAGAGAGAAAGCGGTAAAACATTTCGGTTGGTTGTCCGAGTTAATACATTGACTGAGATATTTGTACTTTCAGTTTTCTCTTTGTCTTTATTTTACATCGTATTATTATTATTATTATTATTATTATTATTGTATAAGCGCTTTAAAAATTACATTATTATTATTATTATTATTGATAATTATTGATATTAAATATTTACAGGTTTTATATTGAGTGTTATTACATACACGTTTGAGGACTAAAACTAGAGAATCATTTAGGCAGACCTCTATGTTTGCTCTATAGAGAGTATTGCCTACCTATAGCTACAAACGTTCTGTGTGTACTTGGTCTAGAGTATGGACCGAGCTATAGTGTATAGAAGTCCGGTCCAGTCGGATTTGCAGCTTATATATCTGCATTTCTTTCAGACGTGAAAGAAGAAATTTATCTACTGCAATGACTTTTAATTTTCCAACCGCTGAGAACAGTTATGATAGATGACCGAACAAGTTTTTATTCTAAAAAAATTTTTGAATTTCTTCTTCAGTGCTCAGTAAGATGCTGGATATAACACATATATAACCAGTATTTAACGAGTTTTATGATTCGCAAAAGTGTTCATTTGACGTCAATTGTCAGCGATTGTAGTTATCCATAATATTATTGCATTGAAAGAAGCTTTTGATTTCAAACAATGATCATTAATAATGATTTCAAACAGTCCTTTTTTTAAATGAATACCTAAAAAAAATCAGTATTGTCAGTACTTATTTTAATTATGGAAGATATTTTGTATGGTACTTATCTAATACGCTATATTCCCAGCTGTTTTGTAGGGCAACATTAGTCTTCCATTCCTTCAAGTGCGTATAGCTAGGAAAGTCATTCCTGTAAGATGGGTGTTATGCAACGGCCGTTCCCATTACTCGGCTGCAAATCATAGATATTATAACCAGGCGAAGATATATCTGTCCTTTAACTGTTCGATTTTAAATCTTAAAATTTTGCCCATTAGAATTATGAAACATCACATCTCTTCTTCTTCATCTTCTTCGTAGATAACCATTTCACAATCCGATGAAGACAACGATTTGTTGCTCATACTATCCACCGAGCGACTAAGTCTCGCCTTGAGGATTTTAGCAAATACATTCTTGTCTTCAAGGCTTTGAACAGGATCTTTTATGCTGCCAACAGACTTTGAACGTCTTCGAGAGGGGTTCTTTTCTTGTGATGGCACATCTGTGTGAGTAATTGTAAAACTCCCATAATCGGGCTTCGTTTYACTTTTGGATGATGCAAGAGATTCAAATGAGCTGCTTCGAGGTCTGCCAGCTTCCATCGCCGATGGAAAACCTTTTAAAGCTTTCTTGTTTGGYAGAACTTTGCTTGTTTTGTTAGTATCTGGTTTATCTCTGGTTTTGCTTTCAAGAAAAAAGCGTACTCAGCGCTCGCACGCTGCCAAGGTGAACTTCTTTGTTAAACATCTGAACGCTATATTCATATTCAAGAAGTGGTTGTTTACAACCTTGGATTTGTTGTTATTCTCATGGGACTAAAACATTACGTCAATAAATCTCTTAATACTCAGTCGTTATTGAATTGATGGGGTCTTGTGACTTTCATTAGTAAATTCTCAAGACGCGGCTGCAAGCACGTCTTCGGTGATAGAATAGCTTTCAGTTTCTAATTGAAGTGAATTGAATAAAACAACTTTTTTTAATCGACACATGGCTCTTAGATCAGTTTTTTTTTTGTTACTCAGTGTATTCTGTGACCACATATAGTTTTATCAATAAGTAAAGATTATAATGAATTGTCCTCGTGCATCGGAAAACATTGAAACAGTTTGATCTGTTTTACAAATGTTTGATGAAAGTTGCTTTTTGATTGGTTCAAAATCAAAGTTTTCGCACTTAAGGAAACCGCGCAAAGATTCTTGGATGCGATTATAATGAATTCTCGRTTTCAATGATGATTCCACCASTACGTTCATCTTCTTTTCATACTTTTGGGAAAGTTTTCGTATTAACTACTTGCATTTGATGAAAGAAAAAGGTGGGAAAATGAGTCATCGCCCCTCCTAGGAAATATTTTTTTGAGTTTGGACGCTATCGTGGATGTATATAGTCAATTTGATATGAAATGTTTCGAAGTCAATTCAATCGTCTTTTTCAAGTTTCATGCAGTAATACTCCGATTTCGATTTCTTGTTTGCTCTGTGTTAGCCTCAAAGCCAAGCAATATATTCTTTTGTTTCATTGATAGCCCAAGAAAACGCATGGAATTTGAAAAGAAAGACAATAGAATTGATTTGAAATCTCACACTTTTATTCTCACAATTANAGGGTTTTTCTCCAGGTCCGCTGGTTTTCCTCCCTCAGTCAAAAACTAGCTGTGAGGAGTGTCGTGTAGTAAAATAATGAATGTTGAGGTAGTGAGTATGAGTGAATATATAGAGGGACACAAGTTTATTAGTCTAAGGACTATTACGTGCTACCCTCTCAAAACAAAAGACTTTATTTTTTATTTATTTTAACAAAAAAGCTCACTTAGACTCAAAGATCAAAGCACAAATACGCTGTACCAAGCTGCAAAACAAATAGACTCAAAAGTTATTTTTTTCTAAAATTGTACATAACTTTGACGTTTTTGTATTATATATTATTCTTGTAAAGTTTTATCTAATCCAGTTGTATTTTTTAAGAATTTTAATAAACTATCTATTTATCTACCTCCAGACATAGTTAACAGGCATAAAAACTCAGTGCGAGGACTCAGGATACTCAAAATGGCGTCTCTACACTTTGGCTATATAAACTTTCATTTCAAAGTCGATCAGATGAAATCGCTCTAGCAAACACATCACTAGTCACGTTACGTAAAGTATTCAACTTCAAAATCTTCAAAGTACTTCAGATTAAGTGATCACGCTTGCATTGCATAAAAATAATAATGTTTAATCATTAATTAATCATCAATAGTCTAGGTCGAGATGGGTGTGCGTAATGACGTCACCGACGCAACTATGACAACTGCTTGCGACAGTTAAATTGAAGAGCAATCTTGAATAATTGTTAAAAAAGATATAGACTGTCTTGACCTTTAAAATTCACTGGTTAATACTTCAAAAAGGCCGACATTTAGATTAATATACAACTTGATTAATTCTAGTGTAAAAATAATTACCTCGATTCAATTTTCTATCTTTTTTAAAAGCGTCCAGCTGGGTATAGTGTTATATGGCATCTTCTGGACGATTCCCTTGGTGTATAAATAACGAAACGGTTGGAAAATCATGCATTATCAAACGTCTTGAGCAAAATGAATTAGTTCAACCTATTTCATTTGCGCAAAATGGCTTTTGAATGGGAAGCAATAATACTTCGCTTGCCATATTGTTGCCTATCTATGCCTCGATGTATCTCACGCGAAGATATAAACTCATCAACATTTATCACTTCGATAACAAGAAAAACTATTTAAAAAAAATTACAGTTGTATGCTCATGAGTTGAATTTAGTAGGAAGTAATGATACTTCGCTTGCCACATGGTTGCTATCTATGCCTATCGCACACGAAGACATAAACTCATAAACATTTATCCTTTTCGATAACAAGAAAAAAAACTATTAAAAAAAATTGGTTGTATGTTCATGAGTCGATCTCAGAGTAGTAAGTTAGTTTAGTAAGTTATTTCACCTACATTTTTGCGGTGTTAAATCTATCTTTTTACACAGCGACCTCAGAGTAATACTAGTGCTAGTTCATGCATACCCCATAGTCTGTGATAGAGATCGCAGTGGTGCAAAGAAAAAATGAAAAATGAGTTCAGATAGTAGGAGAGCTAATAGGGTACGAACAATTGCTGTTGAAAGACGGAACTAACAAAAGATGGGTTAGGCACTCAAGCATCACAAAAAAATTTCATTCCCTTTATAGCAGACGAATAAGAAACGAATAAGATGACGGAACAACAAAATGCCCAAAACCCGGCAGTGAAAAATATAAATAAAACTGAATGAAAGAAAGCAAGGCGAATGAATTCAAAACACCAAAAAAGAAGAAAAACTTTAAAAGAGTAAGTACTGATGAAGAAGAATGAAGAATACAAGCAAAGTTTATCCTGAAAAAAATAATCTATTTTCTTTGTCATGTAATTGTCCATAATTATGGCATCGTTTCAGCTATATACATACCATGATTGAACGGCTTTCATACTGATAAAAGTGGTATCAATTCGGTAGTTATCCATCAATTGCAAAAAAAATTAGTTATCTTTGACAGGAGAAGCAATCAGGAGCAGGGCTAGACGGTACGTTGCCGGTACAATGATCAAATGACCTTTCAATAACATTAAGTCAGTATCGTCCACATTGTATTAAACATAATTAGAATATTCCATTTTGAATCAAATTAAAGCAATAAGCCATCCCTATCTTAACAGTTACTAATTTTAGGAAAGACAACTTGATATAAATAGATACATAAATTCTTTTTATTTTTTTTTTCCAGGTGAATATTTTTCCAAGTCACACTTCAATTGGAACATTGGAAATGCTTTTTTAGGTGGACAACCTATTCAAGATCGTTTATGTAAAGAATATTTATGCACAAAGCTAAAGTATATTACAAATCGAGTCTTCTAGATGGCTACTGAACTATGGTATAAGTATTAAAATAATAATAAAGAAAAATGTTAATAAAAATTATTCATTATGACCATTTTTAAAATTTGCCCTATAGTTTGAAGGAGAAAGACAATTAGACCACTCGGCAGGGCCTCGTGGACTATCAACTCCACCATCACTCGACCTCGCGGTCTAATTTGTAAATAGTTCCCCCAAAAAATATTTCGTAACTACCAATCAACTTTCGTCTAGCTATGATTAATTTTGTTAATTTTGTTGGGATCGATTTATTTCATCAAAGTCGGTCCGAAACTAATTGATGAAATTATTCTGTAAATGAAAAGGGCCGATATAAAATAATATAGAGACCAGAACAGCAAGATATGTTTATGATGAAAGTAAAGAAAGACATAATAGAAGTGAAGTGATATCAAGATTGATTATAAAAAGAAACAGATCAGATCAGAGAGATAATCCGAGTAAAAGTAAAGAGAAAAAAACGAGGAAAAGAGGACAAATAATGGCGGAGATTTGATGTAAAAAAAGTTCTAAAAAAAGGAAGAACAAATGCAAATAAAAAATGAATAAAAAAAACTGAAGCGAAGAAAATGAATACTCATCCTCCGTCCCAGGCCCTATCCTTTGCCTGACCTCAAAGAACAAATAAGGGGCCTGGCGATGCAAATAGTGAGAATACATGAAAATATACAATTCCTCAATGCCTTTAGCCTCCGGCCAGCCTCAGTAATATTCTCCCTGCGCACAGACGATGTCACGCTAACTTAATTAATCCCCTAGGCTTCGCTGAAAATATTTTTTATACACTTGTGTGAGTTTTAGCGCGCTGATTGGCTGGTTAGAGTGCGTGAATCCACTTAAGTTTTGAAATTTTATGACAACGTCAAGAGTGTGTCAACAAGTGGACTTACAATCAAAAACCTTGCGTAATTTGTTAAAAAGAAACCGGAAGTTACGGCCGTTTCATGATCATAACATTCGAGGCGGAAATACCAACATTACACTGGGAAATTGCTTTCATTTTTACGTCATGACGTATCCAGCCTCGATTTGAAAACGCAAAAAACCGCAAGCACAAGTTAATCCCTCAATTTATCACAGCAAGACAACAAAATCCCTGCAGCGGATATTTAGGGCGCATTTTAAACATTTATCGCGAGCGGAAACTCTCTGTGGAATAGGAAGAGACACGTTTTGAATATCGTTTGGTGCTAACTGACTGGTAATTGCTCATAGGCCTTTTGTTCAAGCTATTAGCAGTTCACAGCTTTGAATACTATGCCTTAGAAACGATATTGACAATTCAGAAACAAGAGACAGCGTTTGTTTAGAGATTTGTCGTTTTTGACAACTGAGACAGCCAGAGAAATGACCTCGCTAGCTGCTTCCAGAAAACGCTCAGTGACTTGGAACTCCTTGGATCCTTTTTTCCAACAAGAGCGAAGAAAAGAGCATTTGGAGACATCAAGTATTAATTCTCTAGCCTCTGGCATTGCTTTCTTTTTTGATAAATCACGACCTCGTTCGAGTACATGGCACGGCGGAGAAGACGACGAAAAAGCGGGATTTGAACTGGATAAGACTGACTGTAATAGCACAGCGAATTTAAAAGATTTCGAGAATGATCTAGAAGCTAGTGAAATTCTGCGACAAATAGTTTCAGAAGAGCTTCATAAAGAACTCGATGAAAAAAGCTATGTGAACGAAGACTGTGTCAAGCAAGCAGCTGTTATTACTCAAGCCGTAGAAACCAGAGTTCGAGAAATTACCACAAAAGATACTAAAGTTGTTGCTGTCGCCTACATCGGCGAGATTAGGGATCAAGGAATTGAAATCACGAGTCAGTGTCTATGGGATCCTGAATCGGACAGTTTTGCGACGGCAAGTTTCCGTAATAAGTCCCTTTTTGCTGTTTGTACAGTTTTCACGGTTTCTTAAGATGTTGTTTAAAGAGGTGCAAACTGTCTGAGAATGTGAACTAGATTGTTCTATCAGTATTGAAATAGCGTGAGGTAGATTGCATGATACTTTATCAGGTAGAGATCGTTTTTCAGAAGTACTTCAGACTACTCGAAACTGAGGAAACCCTGGATCGCTAGGCCTGACTCTCTGAATTTATGAATGATATACATCAGTGACGTCATTGACCGCATATCATCAAAGTATGCTTGATTTTCGTTCTTCGTTTTATAATAATGGCTGCTGTACTTAGTGAACCATCTAGGAATTGAAAGAATAGTATTAATTGGCAAGAAATCATCTCGACTGCAATTAGGTAAATATCTGTGCTAATACGTTTTTAGTTCAAAGATGTATGGCTGAAATTGCGATGCGTTTAGCCTTGTCAAAGTTCACTATAGCCCTAAAGGTTTTTTAAATGTTTGGCCCGTATGTTTTAAAAACTTCAATTAGTCAGTCAAATTGGACTTCAAATTTCATTTATGATTACAGGATAACGTTAATTCCTAGTTCATTCCTTTTTCAGTGATTTGATATTAGCATTTTGTATAATAGCAAAATGCATTTATTTTTCTACGTGCTTTCATTGACTGTTCTTTGATTTTACAGTTTTACTCGCTTTCAAATACTTGAAAATTAAATTGAAAATATGTACAACTCGAGTGGGCCTTCCTAATCATGTTAAAAATCTAAAGAGTCTCTCATGCWGGAGAAATTTCAAGCACGTCAAATATACTTGACATGATACATTGATCTCATTAACGAAGTGTGTTTGCATAAACATTTAGAGCCATGATTAATTAAATTGCTTGATAGGCACGTAAAACTATAGGTAACCTGAAATTTCCCCGTTTCAAAAAGCTACTTTTACTACTCTTGTAGCATAAAAACGTACTGGATTCGAACTCTTGCCTCTAGGGTTCCTATGCAGAATAAACCTTACCGTTTTAGCGTAGTGGTGGCAAAAATAGAACAGCTTTGCTTTCTTTGAAGGGCCGACTAACAACCCAACTATTCTATAATCTGGCTTATTTGTTGACAACATCTTCATTAGAATATAGTGTACATAGGTATAATAGAGCATATGTGTATTATATTAGCGAGTGTAGAACGTGTTGTATACATCTATGAAAGCTTATTTATTCTTTGCATAAGCTTCGTATTCAGGATTGTAATAAAAGATTGGGAAAAAACAGGAATTTCTTTCTATTGCYTAGMAATGTTCTTTGAAACAACCTACAAGTACGGCTTCAAAGCTAGTTGAGCTTAGAGCATTGTAAACATCCTTCAGAGTCTGTTTATTCTTGATAGAGTCACGGACTTCTTGTTCATAAACAAGCAATCTTCGAAACTCACTCCATACAAGACGAAATTAGATTAGGCTTTGACAAGTGTTGCAGACAACAAGTAACTTAAAGAATCTGCCTCTCATTTCCTTGCAAAATTTAATAAATCTGAAATATACTGAATTTTCAACTTATATTAGGTCTGTCATTGTATGATGGATTTGCTGATGAAGAGACATGTAGTTATCCCCTAGATTAGGTTTGTATGGAGTCAGTCTCCTTCAGATAAAGGATATTAATCCGGTTGCTAACGCCATTCATCCTTCGTACTTCCACACGAATTGGTCTCAACGATTTGGAAATGTCATTTCAATTTCTGTTGTTTTCTTTCAATGTCAGTGTTTTTTTCAATAACCAGCGCAGGATTTTTAATGTCGGACTCATCGACTTAACTTCGACTGAAAATAACCCATTTACAGCTGGGAGTCACGTGACGCCACACCTACCTTAAATAAATCATTGACAAAATGATGTTTAGAGATGGCAAGAGGGGATCAAAATAAGTAAGAAGACATAGCGCAAGTCGCAACACTAGATTGATAGAAAATATCATTTTTTTCTCTCTCTAAAGAAACATATACAAAAACAGAACTGGAGAGCAAGGCTTGCTTTCCAGTTATATTTTCCCATACGTTTCTTCAGAAAAATCAATATTTTTATTTCTTGTATTTAGAGTTTAGACTTTGCCATTTTACCAGCATAAACCTGCTCTTTCCATTTCTGAACATAATTTTTTGATAGCTGATTGATTGCCAGCTTTGTTTCTAATCATAAAAATGTTGTATGGTCCCTTTTGTTAGGTCATGATCGGATGTCTGTTTAATCAAAAGCATACGAGTACAGCGTTTATAAGGCGTAAGGTTACCTTATTAAAGTAAATACCTTTAGGGAAAAAACTAAACAGATAAAAAACGTAGATTTGTTATCTTTAACTGGGACGTTTGTTGTCTCTAGCATTCCACATAAAAAGTTCCCAGTAATGATCAGCAAGGCGCAACTGAAATATCGCTACTATATTTTGAACTGCTTGATGATTGAACACAATTTAGCCTAGATTTATCTTCCTAAAAGGCATTTTAATGTCTGTATGTTATAAAATACAGTTTGCAGCATATATGTCCCGGGATTTGTTACTCATCTGCTTAAAGACAAAACTTTGTGGCACACTAAATATCCTCTTGAACTTTACAAATTTACTTAGTAAACTGACTGAAGAATAATCCAGTTTCGAAATCTCCAATGCTCTGTGTTAGCCTCATTTCTGCGCAAAATATTCCTAAATGTGAGAATAAAAGTATGAGATTTCAAATCAATTCTATTGTCTCTCTTCAAATTCCATGCGTTTTCTCGGTCTATCAATAAAACAAAACAATATTTTACTTGGTTTTGATGCTAACACAGAGCTAACCAGAACTCGAAATTGGAGTATTAACATATTGTTTTTTTGCACCAAAAATAAGTCAACCTTTTCATTCACTATTTTCAAAGTTTTTTGGGTAATTTTATCCTACAGGTCTACTGCCAAATCAAATACGACCAGCCTATCAACACTTTGTATGAAATCAGTAAAGTCATTTTACACTCACTTCGCTACGAGTGGCTTGTCAAATACGCAAAGTACTTGATGAATTCGTCGTTTAATGAATTCTGAACTTTTGTAAATGAACTGTCAATAGAGTGAAACACATCAATTATAAAAGGTCGAAGAGGACTATATAACATTAGCACAGGGAGCCCGAGTTTTCGACGGTTGCGAATTTAAAACCTGTAAAAAAAGACTTAAAAAACGCAAGTCGTCATTTCTTTAGTTATATAAATCAGCTATATATGTTTAATTTTAAGTTTTAAGTTGTATAAGTTTTAAGCCGTTGCTCTTCCTAATTGCTTTCTTCAGTGAAGACTGGATGTCATGGGCTCTCGTCAATTATGGATTCAGTCTCCTAAACTGCTTTCACTTCAAGCCGCACGCAAGCCCGTGTCCAAAACCACTGAATATCGACGACGAGTCAACACAGATGCCAGTTTCTTCGCCCATGTCATTGTATAGATCCAGTATATCACGGTATATCTTTTACGCGGTACGTTTCCATGGCAGCACAATAGTAATAAATTATAGGCAGTCAAACTTGTGGAATAAAAAGTAAACTCGGCTTTTCCAACTTTACCATTTTAACTGCTTTTGACTATATTTGATGTTTCTAGAACTTCGCACATTTTAGAATAATGAAAAGGCTGAATGCCATTACTGCAAAAGTCTTCCAAATGATGAGTCATACAGCCTACAATAGCACTCGTCTTTCTGTCAGAATTAAAGTTCAAACTTCTCTCTCTCTTTATTATTGTAATTGTGTAGCTCTATTCAGTGATTTTAAATAAATGTCCCCTTGATTTTCATACCAAAAACCTGTTTGATAAGTTTTAGTTATATAGTAGCTATTTGAGGAATCCGACATCTCAAGGCGTGACATCTTGTATGCACCGTTATATTGATTCGGTTATTCGCGATAAACACCGAACACTGAGGCACATGCAAACAAAGTTTCATTGTAGAACGAAGAAGAAGCAACTCGATCAAAGCCATCATCCCATAAACAGCGACTAGCAATCCGCAAATCTTGATCATTTAAAGACCCAATATGCACAACACACACAAGTTTGTACCGATCAAAACCCAAGGTCTTCACTGCTGCCTTGATTTCCTCACTAATTGGCGCTACAATCCTTCGAGCACGCTCTGAAGAATACTCAATGCCATCAAGTTTCTCTTTGAGAGTATTTTGAATGATATCAGTCACAGCTTTGGCGCGAAAACGCTTGTCTTCGTCTGGTTCAGTTTTATAACTGTTGAGAAACTTTGGTGTCATTTCAGCTGAAGGATTATTGCCGAATCGTGGCATGGCGTACGATCTTCTCCGACCATAGATTGTACTGCTCTGTGAAGAGGTAGAAAGTCTTCTGTTATATCGGCTTTCGTTGACTGTTAACGACGTTTTATGATGAGTAAGCTGTAAGGTGTCCGGYGCTTGGACCATGGAMGTCCGGCGACTKGGAGAATCACTMCKTGGCATRGCTACAGTCAAACTTTAAACGCTGTCAAAACAACAACTGTCCAAGGATCAAAGCGTCTTCGCAGAATCTCCCTTTTCCGGCTATGTCCGGAACCTTTGCCCACGTTAAGCACTGGATACCTCAGAGTAGTAGCMTYTACTCTAACAACGAAGTCATTAAGCCTAACTACCAARACAATAGAAGTATTGTGATTAAAATCGTAATTCATAAGTTTTGGTCTAATTAACTCTCCAATAGCAAGTGACAAATTGCGTGTTAATTATTTGAAGACAAAGCGTTAAGTCAGCCTGGATTACTAGCAACGCGGGAGACATAAAACTAACTCGCTGTAACTCGCACTCAAACTCGACTCCATGGCAACTCTAACTGAGAACAGTGATTTTTTAAAAGCTAAACTTGCAACTCTGCTTCTATTTTATCAGTTTATTACTGTCAAGTGTTGCACTCGTTGATTCATCGTTTACTATGGTTGAATAAAGCGTATTGTACTTCATTGTCTTGTAACTCGACTTCAAATCACTGTTTTAGATTTTACTCGGACTCGAGTAAATTTGACATGCTATAAAAAGAGACACTTTAATTATTTTGCTATTTACTTTCATAAGTAAACACTCTAGCTTGTACTAAGACGCTGTCACGAATATTTACAAAGTTATCTGCCGTTAGCAGTTAATTTTCTTATTGGTAATCAAAAAGGTTGACCGCGCATCTTAGTAAACAAAGTGCAAGTGAAGTTAAATGTTAAAGTTGGTTTTGAATCACCGTAAAAAATAGTTTAGTTACTATACTTTTGATTCAGATACAAGAAGAAAACAAATTTAAGTTTTACATGTATAATTAAAGAAAAATTGATATTGAGTAGAACTCTATAAAAGAAGCCGTTGATTTCAGCAATTTAATATTTTTTTTCCACCTTGTGTTGGTAAAACTTCGCCTTTCTGTTGGAAAGGCTTCATTTGAATGGGTCCGAGTCGCTATGAATCGAATTGACAGTTATATTATGTCCACTGTGCAAATGAATGAATGCCTTTCATGGATGAAACAATTTTAAGTGATCGACTTGGGACGGATAGGAATGATGGGGGTTCGAGAAATTGGTATCAGTAATAAATTAGTAAATACACCCTTGAATGACATGCAATGACAGGAATCAATGAAGTGCATGTGCAATAACAGTAGAATAGGAAAATGTAAAATTGATACCAACAGGAGCAACAATGGCGGACATAGTATGTTTTTGCCTTTGTGAAGATGGATAATCTTCTCCAAGTAAGATCTTTGTTGGTTGTCTTCAATGTAACGAGACAACACTGGATTGGGGCCAAGGTGTTTACAACAGCTGCTAATAGTTATGTTTTTCTCCCTGAATACATACATAAACATAACACAAAATACATAAACCATAATTGAAAAAAATCAAGATGGCGGCCGTATCATTGAGTATGACAGAAACTACTACCCATTATACTGCGCGTCTTGTCACGGTTCTATTGTGTGATCCTTTTCCCAGTAAACGTGCTTCAATCAATCAATCAATCAGCATTTATGATATAATGTGAAACCATAAATGAAAATCAGGAAGAAATGTTTCCAAGTCTTACCAACATCAGAGAAAAAAATCCTGAATAATAGAAAGAAAAGATAAAACACAAAAAAATGATTACAAACCAATTTATTTTTTCATAGTCTGCATCAAAATATTTACAAACTGTTTCTTGTTGGTGAAAGCTGCAAATGGGTTTGTCAAAATATTCAAATTCACTTAAACAAAACTAATCAATATATGACCATGATGCATCATGGTTAGTTATGTATTGTTATCTTGAACTAGTGGCTGGCTGCGCGCATGTTCAACACTTAAAACTCCGCTGGATCCTTAATTTCCACACTTTTGTGTTGTCAGGCAAAGTGGCCGCGACTGCAGTTGAAACAATAAAGTATCGTTATATTTGGAGACCTCTGTTTGAAGAGGGATCTTGATCATATCTACTAGACCTGCATTAATTAACAGACCTCTTATCCCGCCAGGCATTATAAGAGGGCTGAGTACTAGTTTTAGATGTCCGCCCTGAAAGCGCTGTTCAATTTATCGTTAATGACAGATCCTTAGCTAAAACTGATTCCTTGGTAATATCATAAATCCTGTTTCTTGCTTGTAATCTCTAAGATTAGTCGCTTTTGATTAGATAGTGAATTTTGACGTAATCATATCAAACTTGTAATCTCTCTGAAGTGACACCTTTGATACTACAGTGTTTTTCTTTTCTTTTCAGAACTATCACCTCAGAATTGTGTCTTTTCCTGTTAAGGAGCTACCACCCCTATCTAACATAAACTCATTGTTTCCGCAAAGAAACCATCTTAG